CATTATGGCTAGAGTCTCTCTTTCAATATTTGTGTAGTTTATCTCTGATTTCAACCTTTGATAAGGCTATAGGTTCCTTTCAAGGCCTTCTATGTGAAAAAGTACTGCTCCAAGTCCGCGTTTGGATGCATCAGCAAAATAATTTAACATAGGAGATTGACTGATTAATGTCTTAATTTCATTAAAACCTTTAGCATGTTCACCTTCTCATTTCCTTTTTTCTTTGACTATTTTGTATAGTGGGTCTGTAAAGTCTTTAAAGTTATTCAAAAATTTTATGTAATAACTTACCTTTCCTAAAAATGTAGAAGTTCATCATAAGATTTTGTCTCTGTCGTGTTGATTATAGCTTTAATTATATTTCGATTAGTATACCTTCCGCATCTATGCCAAATCTAATGTTAATTTGCATGAATATGCTTTTTCCAAAATTGGGTGTGAGATCATATTTTAAAATTCTTTCAAAAACTTTTATTATGATTTCAATATGTATTTCATCATTCTCATCCATTATTAAAAGATTGTCAATATAAAATATAACATCCTTCTATCTCCAAATATTTGTTCCTTGGTCTGTTGACATATTGCAGAAGCAGTTTTAAAACCAAAAGGGAGGGGAGTCTGGCAAATCTGAAGTGCTCTTTATGTGTAGATATGGCCAGGATATTCCTAGAGTTCTTGTTTACGGGAATTCGTAGAAATGCTTTCTTGAAGTTGATTTGGTGAATTTATTTCGTTTTGATAGTTTTGTTATTAAATCTTCTATTCTTCGTAGAGGATAATTAAAATCTTCTAGTGCATTATTAGCGGTGTCTTTAAAGTAATCAGCCCATAACCTGAGACTCCAACGTCCAATGGTGTTAAATGACTTGTCAAACGTACATCTTTTACAGGCTCAATTAATTTGTCCTGAATCCACCTGTTTAGTTCTTTACCAACTATGTTTATTCTAGAGTATGGTAATCCTCTTGGTGTTATTATTTCTGGGATGCCATCTTGCCTTAAACGTAGTTTAATATTGGTTTTATTGATAGGTTTATTAATCATTTTCAATTCACAATAAGTATAATAAGTTTATCATTATAATAATCACCATCTATATTTCCTACAAATTTTTTTAAAAATCTTCAGTTATGTTATTTACTCTTAAATTTAATTCAAAATATTTTTTTTCTACTTTATCACTTTTAGTTTCATCAACCTCTTCGATGTTAACTGTGTTAATCTTATTTCTATATTCTATCTAATTTCTAATATTGTTATTTCTTTTGTAGTTGTGATATGATCTATTATCATATGTGATTGAATCTGTGATTAATACTTTCATGGCTTGGGTAATTTCTTTGAAAATTGTTGGCATGAGGTCTATAGTAAGTATCGAATCTGTTTTGATTGTTGTATCTATTATAATTCTGATGACGAACTTAGTAGTTGTTTTGGCTCTATTATCTTTGTCTGTCAAAATGTGGTAGTGGAATACATTGTTGAATATAATTAATCATACTGTACCAATTATTTATTATCGTCACTGTTTCTCGTATTACATCTTCTTAGTTTCTATTATATGTTTTATCTTTAACTGATCTTTTGGTTTATCCTCCAATCCTTAAGTATCCAGTTTAATAATAGCTTTTGAAAAATAATATTGGGGTCAATATTTTCTAACTCCCTGCCTATTCTTATTATCTCATTTAATCTTTAATTTTATCTTTAATTTTAAATTTAATGTCTTTAGATAAGGCACATATTTTGAATTTCTCTATGGCTCTATCCTTTGTAAAATTTATTCCATACTTAACTGGTAAATATTTCTCATCCTTATATTAACTCGCGCTATTGAATTCTAAAATTTTCACATTTTTGAGGATTCAATATTTTAAGTTTTTTTTATTATACAATCATAATTATTCAATTCCTCCTCAGAGCTTATGGATTCAAGTTTTACATATATGTTATCGGGAAGATTTTGCGTTAGAATATAAGCTTTCTCAGTGAATTTATTTTTATTTAAATACCTACTGATTTGGTCTAAAAATGTTAATGGAAAGTTATAAAATAATCTTTTACTTTAGACATTCTAAAAATTATATGTTATGATTGTTATGTGGGTAGTTTTTTTTTTGTTAAATTGATGAATATATTTTTTTGATTATAATGCGCAATGATTCTTTTAATATATTATTATTATTATTTGTAAAAGAAATAAATAAAGAATAATTATAAAATTTGTTTATGCTATAAAATTAATTATAATAGTAATAAATTTATATTTATTTGTAATAATTGCAAAGTGTAAAAAACGAATAAAATTATTGTTTTTTTCTTCCAAATTTATTTTTCTTGTTACTCTTCTTGTGAATATTCTATTTTTAAATTGTTTTCATGTCAATATTTTTGCCAATTAGTAAAATAAAGAATAAAGAAAAATTAAAATAAAAGTAAGATATAAATATATAGAACAAACTATCAAAGGAAATTAAGAGAATAAGAACCGAAAAAAAACCACCGATTTCCCTTCAAAATAAAAAAATGGTGGCCAAGATAGTTTTCAAATTGACTAATTAGTTATTCGAGGTATTAATTTACCTGTTTATCGTATGTTTAAGTTGAGTAATAGTTAACCGAGGTATATATTTATCTATGTGCCGGACGTTAATTTGAGTAATAAGTTAATCGGGTGTTTACCTGTGTGTCTGACGTTTAAGTTAGAAAATTAGTTAATTTAGGAATCAGACGTTTAGTTGAGTAATTAGTTAATCGAGATATTAGTTTACCTATGTTTAAGTTGAGTAATTAGTTAATCATGGTAGTTTACCTATGTGTCGGACGTAGTGTTGTTAAACGTCTCATTTTAAGCCGATTGTTAAAAACGGCTAACTTAATACTTCATCCATACAAATATTACCCAAGCCTGAAGATTTTGCTCATAGAAGGAACAAAGATCCAGACATATATTGTCGAAATCTTGAGGCTTAGGCAATAATTATCTGGCAAAAATATTGAGTTATCTGTTTTTAAAATCAGCTCAAAACGAGCCGTTTAACAACACTAGTCGGACGCTTAAGTTGAAAAATTATTTAATCTAGGTATTTGTTTGTGTGTCGGTTGATTAAGTTGAGTATTAGTTAATCGAATTAGTTTACCTGTGTGTAGGATGTTTAATTTGTGTAATTAGTTAATCGTGGTATTAGTTTACCTATGTGTCCGACGTTTAAGTTGAAAAATTAGTTAATCTAGGTATTTGTGTACCTGTGTGTCGATTCATTAAGTTTAGTAATTAGTTAATCGAATTGGTTTATCTGTGTGTAGGGTTTAAGTTGGAAAATTACTTAATCTAGGTATTGGTTTAACTTTGTGTAGGATCATTAATGTGGAAAATTAGTTAAGCAAAGTATTGGTTTACCTGTTTGTCGGTTCATTAAGTTGAGTAATTAGTTAATCGAGGTATTACTTTACATGTATGTTGAATAATTGATATAAAAAGAGGAAAAAACGAAATAAAATATTATTATTTTTTTCTTTCAAATTTATTTTACTTGTTACTCTTCTTGTGAACATGATATTTTAAAATTGTTTTTTTGTCTATATTTTTGCAAATTAGTAAAATAATGAATAAAGGAAAATTAAAATAAAGGTAAGATATAAATTTTTTTTTCTTAGAACAAACCACCAAAGGGAAACGATTCCTCTACAAAATAAAATAATGATTGCTTTAATAGAAAGTTTATTATTTTTCGCTTCATATGCATACTTTATTTATTTGTTTGTATTTTATTTTAATTTTTTTTGTAATGAGATTTTCTTTCCTTATATTTACATCAACCTTTTCTAAAATTCTAAGTTCTTCTTTAAAATTTTTTTTTATATGATAACCTTTAAAGGTAAAAAAAAATCTCTGTCCACATTTATATTTTTCTTAATATATATATATTTTTTTACACGAACTTTGAAGGTAAAGAAACCTCTTTATTTAAATATATTTTTACGATGATCTTTGTGAGAAAAATATATCGATGGCCATATTATTTACCTAAATATTAATTAACTTGATGAATAAAATAAATAATTAATAAACTAAATAAAATATGATAATAAGAATATCATCATAAAAGTTTCTAGGTGAGTAAGTTAAGTTTCATTAGGTGCTAAATATGATAAAATGGAAATATCATAATGTATATTTAATTAAATGGTAAACAAAAAATAAAATAAAAAAGTAAAATTATATATATGTTATAATTGGCATATTATAATTAATATATCATAATGCATTAATTAAATGGTAAACAAAAGATAAAATAATAAAGTAATATATATTATATTTGGTACATACCCTTTATTTTACGCAAGAAGCCAGCATTTGTATTTTATATATCTTTTAGGTGGGATATGCAGACTGACTTAACATGGTGCCACGGGTAGCTGACCCCTTCTCAGCAGAGGTCAGTAGGCACTATTTTGAGTTTTTTATATAATATATAATGTTGGATTTTATATAGTTTTTAAAAAGTTAATTTATAATATTTTATATCTTTTTCTTTATTTTAAATAGATTTTTAATTCATCACTATTGGAAGAGACCAAAGGGTAAACGCTTTGCGTTGCCACCATTTAAAAATTGGAGGACTATAAATAAGAATTGTTGAATAAATATAAAATACTTTTCAAATATAATAATAATCATAATATAAATCTCTACACACATATATATATAATATTTTTAAGGTAAATTAATTAAAAGTATTTGATTAATAAAATTAAATAAGTAAAATTAAAATAAGTAAAATTAAAATAAGAAAAATAAAAGTAAAATAAAATTAATCAATTAAATAATATAATCATATTCGCAACACAAATATATTATCAATATTCTGGAAATATTGATTAAAAAAGACTAATTTAAATTTCTTATCTGAAAAATTAATTACCCTCAGAAAATTTATGATAAAATTTTAGCTATAAAGAGTCCATTCTAATTTTTATAAATTATAAAATATTACTTGATCGATAAGCATCGTATTATTTAGGCTTGAACAAAGTTCTATAAGTTTTTTAAATTATATATAATATATAATGATTAAATAATAATCTAAAAATCAAATAATATATTATATTTATTTTGATTCTAATCTAAAAGTACAAGACAAAAAATTTATGAAAATAAATTCCTCTCTCCTTGCAAAACCCACCTCTACCCCCCTCCTTCCACCTTTCTAAAAGATTCTCGTTCTTCGGTTACGATATTTATCTAATTTGTTATTTTATTCTAGCTTTCACGAGTTATGCCTTCGTATTTTTCCCCATTTTAATTTATAATTGATGATGTTGCTTATTACTTTATAAGCTAAGTGAAGGTTGCCTCTCTGCTGTTTACCCAACGTTTGTATACTCTTACCTAAGTTTCCGACATTTTTTTATATTTTTTCATTATATGTTCATATCATTTTATTTACGATGATTATTGTTTTTATGAGTATTACCTTTAAATTTATTTATATTTCGTATCTTGTCCTTCTTGGTTCCCCATCTATCATCCTCACAATTTTATTTCCATAATCTCTAAGCTTCTATAGTTTGATTTTTTGCTTAACCATGTTTCTGAATATTTATTATCGAACTGCATATTTTCTTCTTTAATTTACCAACAAAATCATGATCAAATTCAAAAATTATGATTTAGGAATAACAAATAAACATTAGTTGATAATATTCATGGTTGTTACCAACTGTTTAAAATTAGTCTCTAACATATTAAAATTGTTTTAAAAATTTTATACATGAAGAGTGACTTTAAAAATGATTAATTAGAATCATTTTACTAATTATAGCCTTTAATCTATAAATATTGTTTATTTTTACTTAACCCCAATCCCTAGCAGGGTAAATTTCATATTGCCAAAAAAATGAAAAATATATTGTTTTTAAATAGCAGCGGGACCATCTTCTAGAGGTCTTTTTTCTTACCGCAATTAAATATAATTATAAAATATTAAATATTATAAATCACAATTCATGAATAATTTTGATTTTAAAATCGTTATTTAGTCGTGTATTATAGAAGAATTTCAATCATTCTGGAATTTAAAGCAGAAAGAATAATTTTTCAAGGCTAATAATAAATTTATATAATTATAAATAATAATTAGTGTTGTTAATTGAACCAATTTTTACGGCTAACTCAATATTTCACCCAGAAAAATAGACAAATTCACATACAAAAAGTCTCTATTTTTTCCAATCTTTTGAATACAGATAATGCAGTATAATTATGGCAGTAATTCTTTTGTCAGTATACTTTTGCTGTTTCTCTTGCCTTTTTATTATATTAAAATGTGTAAAATTTTAACTTCCATAATTACTTCTCCCGGAGTGTATACCAAAATTTAACAATTGATGCAGAGTTCAGATTAAACATACCATGATAAATTGAATTAGAATAAGAATAAGAATAATAATTCAAAAAAGATTTCTGATCTAATATAAATTAGCTCTAATATAAATTAGCTCTAATATAAATTAGCTCTAATATAAATTAGCTCTAATATAAATTAGCTCTAATATAAATTAGCTCTAATATAAATTAGCTCTAATATAAATATTAAAAATATTAAAGAAAAGGTATCACTTATCGTCAAAGATTTTCAAAATAAATTGCACCGAAGCCATTTTAAAACAGGGTTCGATAAAATTTCCTGGTTTGGTTCCTATTTTCAATATCTAAACATGGTATTTTGAAAAAATTGAATTTGCCAAGGGATTCGTGTTTGCTTCGAAATTTTAGAGAGGCTTAGAGGGACTATTATAATATTTATTAATCATGTATATTATGTAGTAGTTAATAAATAGCTTGAAGTTATTATTTTTCCCATAAAACGTATTTTTTAGGTCCGCAATGAATATGTTTTATACTCACATTTTATAATATTTTCAGAAGATTAAAATTAATTATTAGCTTAAACTTTGATCTAAGCAAGAATTATCATCAAATGATTTTAATTTTGAAATTAAAAAAAATTAAAAATCTTGGAAAAATGTATTTGATTCTCCAATTATATGTGAATATGTATCAACAATAATATAAATTAAAACAATAAATGAAAGTTAAAGACATTTCTAAATGAAGTTAGAAAAATAATTTATCTATCATTGAAAGAATATCATGGATTAATTAATAAATATTTCGTTTACGATACAAGACATTTTGAAACTTAACCACCTGGTAGTCCCAAAAATAAAACAACCATAAGAAAATATATAAAATATATTGGCTAGTGGAAAAAAAGAGATGACAAAGAGACTTATGAGAAATAAGCCTGGGGCTATAAATATTCGTCAAATTTACAGTTTGAAAGTTTTAAATATCCACAGAAAAAATATTTTTCCTAGGTGAAACTGGAATCCACCTGCATGTGGCATCAGTTTATGCCTAGCCCACATATAATTTTCTCCCGACTATAAAGATCTCATCTTAGAAGTTTAAAAATGTTAGCTTCCTTTGCACAATTTGAATAATTAAAGATAAAATATTGCCAATATTATTGAGCTCTTTCGTGGATTCATTCCATATGATTTTACAAACTTTTACAATCATATGCAACAATATTTGGATTTTGGTTATGGCGGAAAGCCGATTAATTAGGTAATCTCTAATAATTAATATTGAATTGGGCAAGAATTGAATATATTTATTAAAGTGGTACTTTCGGTAAAAGTTAATTGAATATAAAAATATTTGATATTATTTTAACAAGAATTAACTTTTACAATTATCGATACATTAAATATTTGATTTATAGCCAGTAAAACAATACACAAACAGGTAATATAATATTATAAATAAAAGACCATTAAAATATAAAGTAGAATATATATAATATTACTACATTAATAATTTTAATTTTTACTGTTTTATATTCTAAAATGTTATTATCTACGAAGTCGAAGAACATATGGAATGATTAACTTTAAACATAATTTTTTATATACCTATTATTTTATTGAAATTATTTTGAAATAGAATATATATATATCATATTTTTATCGAAATAAATTGATTTAAATTTAAAGAAAAGAAATATTAAAAAATTTTAAAATTTAAAATTTAATAAAACATTTTTATTCATAAAATATCTCAAAAAAATTTTTACAAAATATATTTGGAGTTTTAAAAAAAGTTAATTAAAAATTCTTTTTGGGAATTCTCAGAGAAATTTATATTTTGAAAAGGAATTTTAATTTTATTTTAAAGAAATTCAATTTATGTATAATATATTTCATAGGTAAACAAAGTTTTTGGCTTAAACATTATTTACTCCTAAATTTATTATATTCTATCTGTTCTAGGTATATGTATATTATTATTATTGTTATTAATTTAAAAGAAAATATTATTGATTTTTTTTAATGTATTAATATTTATTATTATTATTATTATATTATTATTCGAGTATTTTAGTTTTGAAGAATAAAAGATTTTGTTAATAATTCCAAGAGTAAATGATTCGAGTATTTTAGTTTTGAAGAATAAAAGATTTTGTTAATAATTCCAAAAGTAAATGATTCGAGTGTAATAATTCCAAGGAAAAATATAATCTCAAAAGTGGTGCCTACAATTAAAAGATACCTGTATTTAAAAAAAAATTAATCCGGAAGATCAATGACTACCATTACGAAACAAGCCAGAAAATTATAAAAGGAAAAAGGAAATTCGTTAAAAAAAAGGTTAAATTTGATTATTTTTTTTTTGAAATTTTATGTATTATTGTGTATTAATAATTTTCGGAATAATTTCGGTATTGTATATTTTATCATTTAAGACAGTGAAATTTTTTTGATAAAATTATTGATAAGTTTATTATAGAGTTAAAGAATTTTAGATTTGAAAATTAAGAATTTAAAGTAAAAATAATTTTAAGGAAATGCTAAATCGCAAAAGTATTAAGACCAACAATTATTTTGAGGTCAAAAATGTTGAGCCGTTAAGAATGTATTTTGGAATATTAGTGGTTTTTATATTATGGGTTGTAATATATTTTTGGTATAAGAAAAGAAATGGGAATAAAGATATAAATCGAGTAAGAATGTTAGAGCAAGTGGAAAGGGAGAAAAATAAAAAAATTGAATAATTTAAGAGGAATATTGAAAATTTATTTAATGAAATATATATGGTGAAAAATGAAAATGAAAAAAAGGAAATATTAAAAACAGATATCGTCAGAGATTCTGAAAAAAAATGTATATGATATTGATATTAATAAAACAGATTTCGTTAGAGAGTCTGAAAAAAGAGAAAATGGAAAAATTAGAGAAAATGAAAAAAAAGAGGAAAAGGAAATTAAAAAAATGGAACATAAAAAAAAGGAGGTTAATATTGAAGAAATGAGAAGAGAAATGAGGGAAGAATGGGAAGAAGGAAATAGAGAAAAAAGAAATGGAAGAAAGGAAGAAAATAGAAAAATTGGAGTTGATTAAAAAGGAAAAAGAGATGTTGAGAACAGAAATGACAGAAATGAAAATTAAAATAGAAGAATTGGAAAAGAAAAATGAAGGAAAAGGAGTGTATAGGAATGATGAAAGGGAAAATAAAAAGTGTTATAATTGTGGGAAGTTTGGACATATCAGTAGGGGTTGTAATGAAAGGAGAAATCCAAATGTGTTAACCATAATTTGTAAAAGGTGTGGGAATAAAGGGCATAAAACTGAGGAGTGTTATGTTCCGGCGTACAAATTGTTGAATGAAAATCAAAAGGCTTGTGGAAATTGTGGAAATTTTGGTCATGGTCATGATAAGTATTTAAGAATCAACAAGAAAATTCTAAAGCATTTCCGGCGGTAGAATATATAAAAAAAGGGGAAAAAAATATCTATGAAAAAAGGAATGTTGAAGATGTAACGTTTCAAATGTCGTAACATTGGGCATGAGAGATTGTCCCGTCACATTACTATATGGTGGAGAGGAATCAATATGTGGGGTTATAACATCGGAAAACCCATTGGACAAGGGAAAAACTTTATTATTAGGAAATGTATTAAATATTGAAT